TTAAGGGGCTACTGGATTTTCAGCACGAGTGAGCGTAACTGGGTGTGTCTGTGGGCAGGGGCAAGGGATACTTTCCAAAGTCACACCACACAGCAGTCCCCTGACCTACATAAAGCAAGTCAGGACCCCCTGGGGCTGGCCGATTGGTGCTCTTCAGGTCACGTGTCCTGAAGGAGGCCAAATTAGGCACGGTTTCTGGTTTTCTTTTTAGGGAGCCAGAGTCTCCAGGACCGGTGTAAATGTCAGTTTCATGAAAATCCATTCTGAAAGTCCCGGTCCACTCCATCATCTGCTCCCCTTTCCCTCCTAGCTCTCCCGGAGCGCCCCAGGCGCTGCTGAGATCAGAGAGCGTAATTACAAATGAACTGGGGCCCTGGTGGGGGGAAGGGGCGGCTTACGGCTTAATTAGCCCCCGTCCCTGCACTCTCTCTGCTTCTGGGCCTCACACTTGGTGCTGGGTCCCAAGTGCCAAAGAATTCAGAGCAGGAGCCTCCTGGCTGGTTAACGCGCTCTCCTCGGTCCCTCCTGACACATCCAGGCTGCAATTAGGCCCAGTCGAGGAGAGGGAGAGGCCTCTGTGCATCCGGAGCTGGCGGGGGACCTGCTTGTCTGAGCCAGCCCGGAGGTGAGGTGCACCGTGGAATGTGGAGTGGCGGCGGCCGCAGGAGCGTGCACCTGCCTGGCCCAGCCCAGGTCAGGAGGCTTCAGGCTGCAGGTGTGTTTCCGGGGGCGTCTGGCAGGGGCCCCGGCATTTAAGACACCTGGGGTGAAAGAGGCTCCTACACCAGGGGAAGGCGGAGGGGGAGGGAGGCAGAGATAAGGGCAGTGACGCCAAGGCTGGGAACAGAGCTTCCCTCTTAGCACAAGCCGGGACCCCCAGAAAGGGCTTGGGGCTGTACAGGGTCATAGAGAAGCAAGTGTGCAGGCGGTCCCACCTGGAGGGTCCCTCTCAAAGGCCAGGGCACACCCCTGAGCTGATTTCTTGGTCCTCATGATTTCCTGGTGGCTTCAGGGTTGGACCACTTGGAGTGCCCGGTTCTGCCTCGAAGGGAACTCACGCCCCTCTCTCCTGGAGAGGCTGGAGCGGGAGGAAGACTGCAGCTGGGAGGCAGGGAAGGGCGGCCATGAGGGCCTGTCCGAGAAGATAATGAAAAAGGAGGAAAGCGACACCTCCCTGCTTCTGGTTCCTGGTACCACCCGCCCCCTGCCCCCTGATCCCCCCACCCCGGCCCCGCCATAACCCCAGCCAGGAGGATCCAGAGACACCAGGCTTACTGAGGACCCAGACCCCTTCCTCAAAGACAGGGGTGGGAAAACAAAACTGAAGTGAATAGGTGTTCAATTATACATCTATGAAGCATCCTTCACTCTAATACTTATTGACAAATGTGTTCCAATGTTAGCCAGGGATGAATTTTAATCTGCTTGAGAGAACAGGGAATGCAGTTCCCAAAGCGAGTGCCCGGGGCACCGCAGGCCCCATGGCCTTCGAGGGGTGCCTGGACTGGGCCCGACCCCAACCCGTGAGTTTAACTTTGTCAAGGGGACCCTTCGAGCTCACACCTGACACTGGCAGGTTTCCATGCACCTGCCAGGTTCCAGGGGAGACCTGCGCTGCAGACCTGGGCTTTTTCCTTCCAGAAGCAGGCTGAGGGGGGTGTCGGGGAGCTGGCTTTCTGCTCTACTCGGATCTCCGAGCAGCGGTTCTCTGCCCGGCTTGCTCTCCCGGGTGGAGAACACCCTCTGCCCTGCCTCTGCTTCTGACCCAGGCTGCATCTTGCTTCCACTGCGCAGGGAAGGAGGCCCTGGGCACAAGGGAAGCCGGGGTGAGTAGACACTCCCCGTATTTGTATTTCAAACAAGCATTGACTAGATGCCGACCGCATGCCTGGCAGCTGCCTTTTTTGCGGTGCTCAGAAGCTGGCAGGGAGACGGTTATGGCACCACAGAGAAAGGCCCAGAGCAGGAAATGTACAAAATGCTGTGAGGCTTGGGGAACGTGAGAGTGATTCCCACCAAATGTTGACCGCGAGGAGCCGACTGCCGGCTGCACCTTGGATGATGACGGAATGCTCCTCGGTCTGGCTGTGAGGGGCTGGGAATGAGAGGTCAGGGACTGGGATCTGGGGCAGGGGACTTGGGCTGGAGAGATGGGACCTAGCATGCAGCCCAGAGAAAGTGGGGAGGCCCTGCCTAGTCTCCAGGAACTCCAGAAAGCACCCAATGAGGGAACGTTTTGCGGTTTCTGTGTGGCAAGAGTAGAGGCTGGAAGACAGCAAAGAACCAAGGGAGCCTCTTCCACTGCTCGCTGTGAGCGACGTCATCGCTACTCATGAGCTGCAGCCGCGGATGTGTCACACTGCTGGGCGGGCTGCCTGTCCATTCTACCCCACGGCTCCTGTGTAGCTCTTCTGCCCAGAAACCAGAGACATTTCCACTGAAGTTCTAGCTGGGTTTGGACCTAGATCCAGAGCCCGCCGGAAACCTCCAGGCCTTGAAACCCAAGGTGCGGTCTAGGATCTGGCAGCCTCAGCGTCCCCCGGAAGCTTCTCAGAAATGCAGAATCTCAGGCCCTGCCCCAGACCCACTGGGTCAGATTTCCTAGCTCCCCAGAGCCAGGCACCTCCAGAGGGTTCCTGGACCCGGAGTGGCCCCTGCCTGGGGCACTGTGACCTCTGGGATGGACCCTTCCACTCTCAGACTCGGGCCATGGAATTCAGGGCGGGAACAAAACCAGGAATTCTCTCCAGGTGCTAAGCAAGGCTTCAGCTTCGGGTTTCACTATTCCAGGCGGGAGGCCAGCCAGCAGGGGCTCAGTCCCTCTCAGGCACACGGCGTCAGGAATCAAAACAACCCAGGAATGCAGGTGAGCTCATGCCGACGCCGAGCAGCCATCATTCATGCCACGGCACGTTACATGTGTTGCGTCGAGGCGGCGGCTGCACAGGTGGAGCCATGCGCCCGTACCTGTCAGCACTCACATTATCCACGATTATCTGGATTTTCTTTCCTTTTGGCCCCAGAGGAGGAGCTGCCACACAGAGTTTAGTACAGCAAAGTCGCTGGCCTCGTGCTTGGATAGAACAGTATCCAGAGATGCAAGGACTAACCAGCTAAACGTGCCTGGGTATATGCGTATGTGTGTGCGTATGTGTAGGAGGTGGGGCTGCTGACACACGAGTGCCTTATTAAAGGGGAACTCATGTCGAGGAGTCGCTCTCTGCTTTTCCCCAGGTCACAGCGTGAGAAAAGCTTCTCATCACATGCAGGGCCTTGAGCATTTGAAAATAATAAAAAGGAAAAGTTTTGAATTAAAATTTATGGTTGAGCCTGCCTGTCTGGGGGAAGCTGGCTTAGTGGGCAAAGCTGACGCCAGCCAGGCTGCAGGGGCTGGCAGAAATTGGACACCAGCGTCCCTGGAAGCGGGGCGGGACGACTCTCCCAGTGGCCCGCACGATGGCCCCTACTGGCCAGCCACCGCCTGCTCCTGCGGCACACTGGACCCCCGGGGAACGCTAAAAGTGCGCAAGCCCGGGCCACGTGACCCGCCCAGCCAATCTGGATCTCCGGAGGCGGGGCCCACGCCCAGAATTAGTTTTGAAGCTCTCCAGGTGATTTTAATGTGACACCAGGGCTGAGAAACAGCACCCTCAACCCCAGGCTCCAGAGCTGGAGGACGATGCGGGTGGGGGGGCTATGTTCCTCTTGGTGCCCCTCTCCCTTCCCAGTGCTGGTAGGGGCAGTAGGCCTGACTCAGCGGTGCTGGCGGGGTGATTTGAGCACCCAGCACTTGGGCAGTTTAATGCACCCCTGAGAGGCCCAAAAGAGAGAGGGAGTCGGGGCCGTGGCATCGGTTCAGCGGCCCTCCCCACCCCACCCCAGTGTGCCCCTGAGCAACCGAACGCTTCCGATGTCCACCTAGGCAGCTGTGGCAAAGAACCTGGACATCGGTGGTCTCCTTTAACCTGTGCATTAGTTTCCTATTGATGATGTAACGAATTGTCACAAACGGCGAAACTTGAAACAACACCAAGTTATTATCTTACAGTTCTGTGGCTTAGAAGTCGAACACGGTCTTACAGGCTAAAATCAGGTGTCCCAGGGCCGCGTCTCCTCTGAAGGATAGAGGGACAGTATTTCCCCTACTTTGCTGGCCCCTGGTCCCTTCCTCAAGTCACTCTGATGGCTGCTTGTCTCCTCTCCGCCAACACCTCCCCCCATCTGGCCGTCTGGTCTTCCTCATCGCAGGCCTCCGTATGATGAATTGCGTGCGCCAGGCTCATCCTCCCACCTGAAGACCCTTAACTGAAACCTATCTGCAAAATCCTTTTTGCCAGGGAAGGTCGTGGTCATAGGCTCTGTGGATTAGGACATGGACATCTCTGGGGCAGAATATCTTCCCTTCTCCCACACCCTGACCACAGCCTGATGAGTCAGATGTGCATCGCACCCATTCAGCAGATGAGAAAATTGATGCCTGGAGAGGAAAGGTGAAACTATATTCTCCTCGCTCCCTACCTTGTTGATACAGCATCTAGCAGTCACCTCAGGGAATCATCCCCCATCTTGATCCTCTGGCCACGGTCTCCCTCTTCCCTCCATAAAGCACAAGGTGCCCCTCGCTGCCCACTTTGGGGCTGGTCATTCCCACCTTTCTGTCGGACAGCTTCATGGGCACCCAGCTACTGATACAAAAAGGTGTTAGAGAGGAACCTGTGGCCACAACCGGGTCAGGCGTGTGTCACCCTGCGGCCCAGGAAGCCAGTTCTCTCGGGGGTGGTGCCGATGGCTCTGGGCTTCTCCGATCCCCCTGACGAGGCCGTTCCATTGTACACACAAGTGGCACCCCGTGCCTTTCCTCTGTGGCATTGGTCAGAATTCCACAGTTGGTTATGTACCTCTGTAATTAATCTCGGTCTTTCTCTCTCAGCTGTAAACTCCACAAGGGCAGAAAATGTATTTATTTTAGCTCACCAGGGCCTTGTAGAGTATATGGCATTTAGGGGTGATTTAATAAAAATCTGTTAAATGAAAGAACGTTTTCCAGTAGTGTAAGGCTTACAGACTATTACTGTGTCTCTGCCTTCTGGAAGCTGGGGTTGACTGCATTCATGTTCTCGTCCACTGCCTTCCCTGTAAGAGGACTACACGTCCCCATGCATTGACATGTGGCTCCTAGGGGACACTTGCTGGCTTGGCCGTGTGACTTGCTTTGGCCAATGGACTATGAATGGCCATGACAGAAGCTGTCTCTGAGAAGCTTTAAGAGCAGTTGATGGCATGGCTCTGCCTCTTGTTCTTTCCCTTTGTCGAGAGAACACAGCATCCCTACTGTAGGCCTCTCCTTCAGGACACGTACAGGAAAGAGACGATAAGTGGAGTAGAGCCGCAGGGTCCACCTCATCACAGCCAACACGGGCAAGAATGAAGCTGCTGTTCCTGTAGGCCAATAAGATTTGGGGATTTTTGGTATTGTGACAGAATGTGAACTCGGACCAATACAGTAGTCTTACTGACATCTCAGGACGCCTCCAGCTCACCTCCTCTCAAATGGAGAACATGTTCTGCCACCTAGGAGCTGTGTGATCTTGAGAAAGACACATAACATATTTTGGCTTCAAATTTCTACACCGATAGATAAAGCTTCCTCCCAGCTTTCTCATCATTCTGAAGAACTAGCCTATCATGTGACACTTGACCTCTGTTCTTAATAAGATTTCTTTGCATGTGGTCGTATGGTACCAGGGAAGTCACCCCAGATTTTGTGTCCAAGAGCTATGTGTTCTTAGTTAATATTTTGAAAATCTCACTCCTTATCTGTAAAAGTTTTCTTATCTGTAAAAGGAAATGTATCACACAGCACCAGGGTAAGTCCTGCAGCTCATAGTAGCGCTCTGTAAACTCGCGCCTCCTCCCTTCCTCCCGCCGTCTTGCTCAGACTGAGCCCTGTGAGGCGTGTGCTTCTCCCACGTCACATTCCCTGAGGCTGGGTGCTTCTGCAGGGAGCACCTAGTGAAATCTCCAGATAAAACCCCACAGGGGAGTATGCAGTTGCTCACAACATGATTCACAACAGCCCAGAAATGGAAACAACAAGGTGTCCATCAAACGGACAAGGTGAACAAAATGTAGCGTGTTTACGCAGACCAGTGTTAAGCAACCACCAAAAGGAGCAAAATACTGACTGTAGCAAAAGGAGCTACAACATGGATGAACCTTGAAAACATTATGCTAAATGAAAGAAGGCAGTTACAAACAGCCATGCATCATATGCCTCGGTTCCTATTAAATACCCCAAAGAGTCCATGGAGCCAGAAAGTCGATTATTGGTTGTCTGATCTCCTGGGAGGCTGGAGACGCTGGAGGGGTTGGGTGGTGATAGCTAATGGGTATGGGGTTTTGGGGGGAGTGATGAAAATATTTTGAAGTTACGCAGTGGTGATGGTTGAACAACTTTGTAAACATACTAAAGGACACTGTAGACTTTAAAAGCCAAATTATATCTCAACATAAAAAAAAACAACCTGCAGAGAGATGCCAAGGGAGGGGTAGCCAGGGGGTGACAGCTCGGGGGGAGGACATTGCCACAGCCACCCCTCTTCCCAGTCCTCTCCGTGTTGTTTTGCTTGGGTCTCCGAAATCTCTCTTCTGCTGCTGCCGCGGGCCCACACAAGGGGAAAATTCTGCTTAGCTCAAAGGAAATGGTTGAGATTTTTCAAATATCACTTTATTAAAAATTTTGAAAGGCATCATGGAGCAGGGAATAAAAATGTGAAGGCTCAAAATGTGAAGGAATTAAAGATGGTGGAGTTCTGGAGTTCAGGTCCCTTGCTCTAAAAAAGCCACAAAGACAGGCGAACTCCTGGGTCTCGAGTCCCCCCAGCCATGGAGCCCCCTTCGGAAGCTCTGGACAGCCTTCTCCATCCCTCCTTCCCCTCCGCCTTGGGCCTGAGCCCTAGCTGGTTGCATGTGGTGACAATAACTGGCAATTAGGTTGTTGGGCCTCCCAGTGCAGAAAGGCACCCCCTCCCACTCTGGACCCAGAGACCAAGGCACTGGTGGGTGGGTAGGTGGGAGAGAGCATGCAGGGCCCCTGATCTTCCTTCCACACCCGCACCCTAGGAGGAGACGGCTGTTTCCTTACTGTGCCCCACAACCCCTTGTCCATGGACCTACCACCCAAGGCCCAGGAAATGAAAGCTTCCCGTTGCTTTGCAGGAGACTGGAGGTTTTTTTAATCTTTAGATTCTAAGATGACCAAACGGATGGTTAGTGCACCCTGGCAAAGTGAAGACGCAGAAGTAATTATTCTTCCCTGCGTTTGCTGTGTATTTTTAGATTTCAAGATCAAATAATGACTTGCCAAGCCAAATCTTTGGGTGTGTTTTGGATTGGCCCGAGCTCCGCGGGCCCTCATGACAGGCCAGCCTGAGGCGGCTGGCCGGAAGACGCCCACACACGGGAGAGAGTGGGCCGCTCCAGGGGCGGTTACCCTGACCCGCGTGTGGGTTTCTTTTCTTTGCCAGTCTCCACTTACCTCGGAGGGGGTGCTGGCGTCACCTAGAGAGAGCTTGGAACATGGGAACATGACTTGTCTCTTTGCTCACAGCTTTAGAAGCTTATTTACCAAGCCCTCCAGTTTCTGAGTTGAAAGGCCCACCGAAAGACCTACGATATGCTCAGAATGACTCGGGCCCCAGTCAATATTTATAACCTGGGGTTTCAGTTCATGTGGCTTCATGAGACTATTTGAGCTCCACTTAACTCCTGCTCGTTGATCATCAGTGGGAGACCTTTGACCTGCTGGCCCCTCTCTCTCTATTATACTGCGCAACTGGGAATACACTTGACTTTCAAAGGCTCACCCTGGGCCATTCAAAGAAAAATGTCTACCTCATTTTTAAGCCCTATCTTGTTCCCTTGCAGTCTGAATAAACATTATTCAATACCCAAAGTTACTTAAGCATCAATCACTTCCACCTGAAGGAGGAGGTGAAGGGAACAAAGATGTTACAGCACAAGACGGTTGAAATTTAACCTCCGCTGCTGGGTGCTTTCCAAGCTTCTTCAGATTAGTTCTTTAAAACGAAGCCCCAGAGAACGGACGTTACCTCTAGTTCACCGCAATTCTCTTTCTCTCAAGAATTACACTTGAGCATGAAGCAAGGCATCCCGGAAGCCCCGGGCAGGCGGTAAACTTGGTTAGTGTGTCTGAGTATTTGCTCTCTCTCTCTTCTGGAGAAACTTCCACAGGCCTTTGACATTCCTCTTCTTGCTGCACCCTCCCTTGGGCGGGTTTCTGACCCAGCCCTTCAGCATCTCCCCCTGTAACACATCTCCCAGGTCATGAGCTTCATGTCTTTCTCTTTCTTCTTCCTTCCTTCTTCTCTACCCAACCCCTGAACACCCAATCACTCTCTATAGAAAGATTGGCCTCTGAAATTCCCATTTTCTCTAATGTCACTGACGGATGCCCGTTTTTGGCTCTGAGATGCAGAAGTCCTACTCTGTAGAGCAGAGGACAGTGGTTTTCCAGGTGTGGCCTCAGACCATGTGCATTGGACTCACCTGGTTTCATTGTGCATGGAAGCTCCCTGAACCCCACCGTGTCTACTGAATTGGACTCTGGGGAGTGGGCCAGGAAATCTGTATTTCTTACAAAGATTTTATTTATTTATTTGTAGACAGAGGGGAAGGCAGGGAGAAAGAAAGGGAGAGAAACATCAATGTGTGGTTGTCTCTTGTGCACCCTGTACTGGGGACCTGGCCTGCAATCCAGGCATGTGCCCTGACTGGGAATATGAACTGGCAACCCTTTGGTTCACAAGCTGGTGCTCAGTCCACTGAGCTATTCCTGCCAGGGGAAAATCTGCATGTGAAACAAGCTCACCAGTGATCCATTTTCCTAGTGAAGTTGGGGATCCACTGTTACTGAGAGCAGAGCATAGCTTTGGACTCAGAAAAACCCTGGCTGCATTCTTGCTTTGCTCTTCACCAGTACAGCTTTATTGAGACATAACTATATACCATGCAATTTGCCCATATACTTTGTACATACAATTCAGTAGTGTCTAGTAAACTCACAGAATTGTGCAATCATTACTACAATCAATTTTAGAATATTTTTATTGCCCCAAAAGAGAAACCCTGTATCAATTAGCAGTCTCTCCTACTTACATTTAACCCCTCAGCCCTAAGCAACCCCTAATCTGCTTTCTGTGACTGGATTTGCCCCTTCTGGATATTTCATATCAATGGAAACATAAAATAGGTAGCCATTAAAACTACAAACTCTTAGAATATAACGTATCTTAGATTTATCAATGAATTCTTAGATATGACCAAAAATAGCACAATCAACAAAAGAAACAATAGATAAATGGAATTTCATCAAAATTGCAAACGTTTGTCCCTCAAAGAACCAGCAAGAAAGCAAAAAGACAACCTACAAAGTGGGAGAAAATGTTTGCAAATCATATACCTGATAAGAGTCTAGTATCCAGAATATGTAAAAACCACTCACAACTCAATAACAAAGAGAAAATTAACCAATTAGTAAATTGGTTATTATTAACCAATTAATAAATGGGCAAAGGACTCAACTAGGCATTTCTCCAAAGAAGACATACAAATGGCCAACAAGCACATCCTTAGTTTTAGAGGAATGCAAATCAAAACACAATGCGCTACCACCTCACACCCACTAGGATGCTGTAGTCGAAACCAAAGGCCAATAACAAGTATTGGTGAGGACGTAGAGACCGTGGAACCCTTGTACATTGCTGGTGGGAATATAAAGTGCCACAGCCATTCCCTTATGTAAGCCAGCTTGGCAACTCCTAAGTAAATTAAACAAAGAATTACCATATGACCCAGAAATTCTATTCCTAGGTAGAGAACTAAAAGAATTGAAAGCAGGTGTTCAGATACAAACTTGTTCATGAATGTTCCTAAGTAGTATAATTCACAATAGTCAAAAGGTGGAAACAACTCAAATGTACATCAATAAGTAAATGGATAAACAAAATGTGGTGTATCCATACAGTAGAATATTATTTGGAAATAAAAAGGGATGAAGTTTTGACACATGCTACAACATGGATGAACCTTGAAAAATTATGTAAAGTGAAAGGAATCAGACAGAAATGGCCATATATTGTATGATTTCACCTATAAGAAATGTCCAGAAAGCAGAAGCTGGGGGCAGGGGAGAATTGGGAGTCACTGCTTAATGGGAGCAGGGTTTCTTTTTGGGGTGATGAGATGTTCTAGAACTAGGTAATGGCGATGGTCCCACAATAATGTGAAGGCACCAAAGGCCAATGAATGGTGCAATTTAAAATGGTTTAAACAGTAAGCCTTATGGTACGTGTACAAAAAGTCCTTTTAAAATTACTCGAAGTGTAATTTCAGCGCTGCCAGGACGGCGCCCCGGACTCCACGAGCCCTCCAGGGAGCGGCCACTTCTGCCGCTGGCCCGCGAACCTCGGCCAATCCCACCTGCTGCGGGCACACCTGCTGTTCCCTCCTGGGAGGCTCCTTCCTGCAAGAGCACTTCTTCTGCACATGCAGATACGCCCTGCAGAGGAAGGTGGGCGCATCTCGGCAGCCGCTGCGGACCGCAGCATGGCATGGAGACCAGAGCGGGTGGTTTGAGGCACAGTTTCTAGAAGCTTCTTGAGCAACATCAGGGATAGACCTGAGGCCACCCAGGGGAATTTCTGACACCACCAATGGGGAGCTGAGGACAACCTTCTCTGTATTCTCCTTTGAGGTTGTGGGCAAGTAACCAAGTGACCTCACCTTATCCCAGAAAAACCTGCCCAGAGGAAAGGCTATTGGGCCAGAGATCGGACACTGACAGCAGGTGAGAGGCAGCCCTGTCCCAGAGTCCAGACTAACAAAAACCTCTGCCTTGTCTTCTAAGTTCTGTGGGTGTGTCCACAGCCAGGCTGCTCCCGGGACCCTCTCTCCACCACCTAAGAACAGCAGGCCCTTTCTGGCTGGTTGTCTGGGTGGAGGTGCCGGCGGCAGCCTGACATGGCCCCCCGGGCGACGCCTTCTCAGTCACCCCTCCTTCCTGATTTGCACACGCACTATGTCCAGAAATGCCCTCTCCTTGGCTCAAGCTCAGGCCAGCCTCCCCCGGTCAATAACATCACCTCCTGCCCCTCACGCCATCCTGGCCGCCATTTTCCCCATCGCTGTGATTTCTGACCTTAGCTGCATTTCTATTTCCTTGCTCCCTGGCTCTAGGGCCAGCCCCTCTGTTGGTCACACATGGGTCCTCCCAACCAGCTCCAGTATGTGAGCACCTGCTCTTAGATGTTCTCACAGCAGATAATTCATGTGTACTGCACAAGAGCCAATGAGAGGAGGCTATGGAGGGATTGGTTGTTTATTGTCCAGGACCGTTTATCACAATGTGACACAAAGTTCAAGGTTTCTGCCAGCAGGGCTATTTCCCAATGTGCTGAAGGGGGGGATGTGCATTTCACATGCCTAGGGAGGCCTCCAATTTATGGAGTTTAAGATCAAAACAAGGTCAGAAGAAAAATTGGCTGACCCACTGTGAGTACAAAGTGATTTCAACTAAAGTAGGTAGAGAACATGAAGATCATAGGAAATGGAATTTCAGATTTAGTGTCTGATGTTTCATCTCCCGAAAATGGGCAACCTCCCAGGTTCTAATCTTGGCTTTCTCTCTGTGTCATCTCTTTTGGAACTCACGGTGCAAATGGTTCTGTGCAAAATGGTTACCTGACTGCTACAAATACTCTATTTGGAGTCATAAGCACACTTCAAATGCAGTGCATCTCTAATTTCATTCATTCATTCATTCATTCACTCACTCATTCACTCACTCACTCACTCACTCACTCACTCACTCACTCACTCACTCACTGTGCTCCTCACATCGCCAGCATCTCCAAACCTCTCTGCGTTCTGACTTTCCACCCCTTCCAGTTCCCACTCACAGCGGACCACAGCCCCCACCTGCCTGCCAAACCCAAGAGATCGCTGCTTCTTGGTTCCGCCTGCTCCAGTCTACCCTAGACCCAGTCTAACTTCTCTGAAGCCCAGGTCCAATCTATCGGTCCAAACTATCGGTCCCTGCTAGACGCCTTAATTCCTTATCATGCAAACTCCCGTTCATTCATTCTGCACCTGATATTTCTTGACTGTCTATGATGTACAGGGCATGGGGTTGGGGACAGGGACTGTAACAGTAACTGAGACTCCTGGGCTCATGATCTAAGGAGGGAGACACCATGGAATGGCGTTACAGCGTGAAAAGTGCTCAAATAGGGAGGGAGAAAGAGGGTGCTCGGGGGCCACAAATAAGGACACAGCCCCAGCCTTGATGGCTCAGGGGAGCTCCGCAGCACTCACAGAGTCACATCTAGGGTCCTCAGCAACAGTGCAAGGCTGTCTTTACCAGGCTCGGATTCCCTTTCTGGGCCTCTAGATACCTCGCATGTCCCATGATGCACCCACAAAGGGTTCCTGGATCTTCCAAATAGGCCAGCGCCCTCCTACTTCTATACTTTTTTCGTTCATTCTTCTTTCTCCCTGGATTATCCTTGCTTCTCACCTTTAAATGTCAAATTAATATTGACTCTTCAAGAGCCATAGAAGCGCCACCTTCTTCCTGGAGCCTCCCCTGGTTTCTGATTCACTGCCCTTACCTGTTTCTCCATCTGCACTGGAGCGGTCTGCATGCAGCTTTGTGCCATTGAGCTCAGGGGCAGTCACCACATTTTGTTCATCCTTCAGAGCCCAAGAGGACTGCCCACCATAATGCCCTGCACTGTGGGGAAGCTGAAGGCGAATCAAGGAAGGGGTCCCCGCCGTATTTTTTGTCTCAGCTACATCGAAACACAGACGAACCCCACATGGTACCTTTGGACAGTTCTGTGTGCTCTGCTCCCTTGTACTGAAACCCTCCCAACTCATTTGCTCCAGCCCTGGTCTGGGAAAAAGTCAAGGGCAAATGGCATTCACCCATGTGTCCCTGGGGCCCTAGCACACACCTGTAGGCCCACAGTAAACCTTCCCTGACCATGACCAAGAGCTAATAATTCAAACTCTTTTATTTAACCATCCACTATCTCTAAGGCGCCCACGTTGAGACTGAAGTAAAGCTCTTGCAAATACATATATTCACACCTTTCTCCCTCACACTCTTGGTGAAGGAGAACTCGCTTTTATTCTGGGCTCATCGCTCTCTCTCCACTTTTCAACCCACTGGCCAACCTTCCCCTCCTAACCCAGTTCTGTTTGAACTGGCCACCCGCCCAGCCCACTCGACCTTCCTTCCCGCTCCTCCTCCTGCACTTGGGCCCCTCACCTTGCTTTGCTTTGGAGAAACTTGAAAAGGCTGGTTTCCTCCATCCCCTTTCATCATATTCGGTTATCTGGATCAGCATTTTTATTTTGCATTGTTAAGACACTCTGCCTTGACTTCGGCCTTCGTTCAGGGAGAGGAGAGAGTTGGCACAAGGATCGTTGACGATGACTACGTTTTATTATGTGTGATGGTCGTAGGTTAAACATGCAGTTTGTCAAGCTGGGAGCTGGGGGCGGGGAAGGGGGGAGGAGGACACGAAATACCATAAAGTCACAGTGCAAAATATTTTTCAAGGAGACATCAAAGCCTTTTTCCATGGTGTCTTGCCTTGACCCCATTTCACACTGGCAACACACAAACTCAAATTAAAATAAAAATACCAGGCTGGCTCCATTTCGCCAGTTGGGCTGCTGGGCTAAGTGACCAATTTTATTAAAGTCACCAAACGCAAACATTCCAAGATTTATTTTCCTTGCTTATAATTTTTCTGCCTTTCCACTGGTGGGCTGTTTATTCCTAATAATTTGGTAGGAAAAAACATTCGCTCATACCAGTGGAGGTCTTACATGCCAAGCTGCAAACCAGAGTGCATTTTATTGCGGAATAAAACCCCTGGAAAACAGGCTCCAGGGGGGCCCGCTGACGGCAAGTTTATAAGCGTAGCACAATTGACGCCATTATAATTAGTTCCCCCCCAAAGTCTTATTTTTTAGGGCAGAGATCTGAATCTTTCTCTTTGCACATGAATATCTCCGGACTAGAGCAAAAACATTATGGAGGGTGAGTCATAGACCAGCTCTGGGCTTTAAAGACTAACACAGATCCTATAAATCTAACTCACATTCTTTTACTGGGAATGACTGACTTTTATGAAAACCGAGGACTGTAAATCAGAAACCTAAATAGCTTGCTTTGCAGCGGATAAACACAGATTTATGTAGTGGCTGAGCCCTAACTTAACCCTTTCACGGAGCCACAGAGAACCGTGGGTGGGTGGGGGGCAGTACATGTGCTTTGCAGGGAGGGTTCCATCAGCACTGCTACTCCTTCCTCGAAGCTGGCGTATGGGGAGGAGACATGCCTCTGTCTATCTCCAGCGGCCGGAGGTGGGTGACGCGAGGACCATGTCTTTCTGCGGCCAGGCGTGCTTGCTACTAATCCATTTCAGCTGGGTGCACGCGGAGCCGCCATGAGTTGGCTCCTGGTTACTCCAAAGATCAGTCTCCAGCGTGATGGGCACACACACAGGAGCTAATCTAGAAGGGGTTTCTGTGTGGGTGCTTGTAGGTGAGCCAGTCCCTGCCTGGGCTACTAATCCCTGCAGGTGTGACCTCTTCTAAGGCACCGAATCCCCCCGGGCCTCAGCCTTCTCATCTGCAAAACGATGCATCCATCTGGCATGTCGTAAGTAAGGATTCAACAGAACAGTTACATAAGGTGCTAAGAACAAGGCTGGCTCATGAGAAGCATGCGACACATGTTACCCAGTGTCGGTACTATTGTTACTAGAACCACTGGTCATGCGACCAGGCTTCTTAAACTGTCACGTGCCCACCAGTCACCTGGGCATGTCATTGAAGCTCAGATTTTGATCCAGTGTGCCTGAGAATCTGCATTTCCAACAAGGTCTCAGGTGATGCTGATGCTGCTGGTCCCTGAACAGCACCCCTTCCCCAGCCCCCCCCCCCCCCCGCCACCCCGGACGTCTGAGTAGTGTAGATGCAGAATTCGGAATTTACCAACCACGCCTACCATCCTTCCTCATTCGGTAGAGACAGGTCAAGCGTTTTTCTTGTGGCTGAGAGTTACAGCCATCAATGTGATCCTGAGCAAAGATACCCCGGGTCGCGGTGGCTGCCCGGTTCCGGGTCCGATCCTCCCCGCCACCTCCCCAAATCTCAGCCCCCAACCCGTCCACCCCCTGGCGCTTCTCTCTGCCGGCCTCCAGCTCCCTCATCTCCCCCCACCCTTACCCCCGGCCTCCTGCTTCTGTGTTCCGACTCCACCTGTGAAAGGAAACGGGACCCACTGATCCCGGGAGAGAGGCTGGGGCATCTATCATTTTTATGTGGCATTTCAAAGGAGGAGGCTCCCAGGCAGCCCGGAGACAAAGGCCGGCCGCAGCGGGTTAATGGAGAACCTGCGATTTAATCATTAACGTCTAATACTAAAGCTGCCCCAGGAGGCCCCCCGAGTGGGGCGGAGGGTGGCGGGGGCTCCCACGCCTTTGGGGGCGGTGGGTCCTTCGGGCGGCCGCGGCGCCGGGGCCCTTGGCCCATCCTCGCAGGTGAGGCTTTGTGCTGAAGCCGAGAGTGCGCAGAGGGGTTCCTTTCTGCTTGGAGCCCCAGAGAATCTGGGATGGCAGGACAGAGGTGGCACCACACTGGGGAACTGAGTTCCTTCCGCCGGCTCACCCTGCCGCAGGGAGGCGGAAGATTATCAGCGCACTTTCTAGGCAGAGCTGAGATCCAGGTGAGCAGGCAGCTTGAAGCCACACAGCGGCCGGCTGGGCCAGTCCCCTGCGCAGGGCGAGGCCCCCAAGGCCCAGCTCCAGGAGCGTGCCCCCATCCTCCGACTCTCCCCAGCCCGCGCGGCTCCTGCCAGAGTGAGGGCTCGGCCCTGACATCTGCCGGTCCCCCCTGCCCACCCCCACCCACCTGTCCACCTGACCTTCTGCGCACACACTCAGCGTCCCCCCAGCCCCCCCACCCTTATCTCATTTTAATCATTTACCTGGAACTGGGAACGAGTCGCCTCCTTCAGTGTTTTCCCAAGTGCTTGGACAAAGCCTTGAAATCACACCGCGAAAAAGTCATTTCCTTTCCAATCTTCCTCCAAGCCTCAGACGAGGAGGAGCAGGCCTTTGACCCTCTCGAGCACCTGTTACACCCTCTTTTGAACAAGAGGGAGCAGCCCAGAGTCCTGAGCCCACCGCGGTTTCTCCCCAGAATTTAAGAAGCACCATGGTGTGTTCACTGAGTTTCTGTTTACTTTTAAGTTTTTTTTTAATATTGACGTTTAATACCGTTAAGTGGTGGTACACTGGGTGAACCATCGCAAACTGAATAACCTGTGAAACCAACACTCCGATCAAGAAACAGAATTTGTTAATTCTGAATTCAGAAAACAGACCTTCCTGGGCCCCCAGGAGCCCCCATCCACTGTCCCCTTCGAGTCCCTGGCCCCTCCTCCTCAAAGGGTGACCGCTCTCCTGACTTCTAAAAGCATCGGTTAGATTTGCCTGCTTTTCCATCGGCCACACACGTGGAGTCTTCGTGGCCAGCTGCTTTTTGTGCTCAGCCTTGTCCTCGAAATTCACCCACTGGCACTGCGTGTGGTAGTAGCCTGTCCATTCTCATCGCTGACAAGCATTCGTTGTATTTATTTTTACGGTGACTCGCCGTGTATAACACAAGGATACCGATTTCCCTTTACCTCTGCGGATACTTTTGAGGGTTAGTAAAGAAGAAAATAATAGACCTAATTTACAAATTAAGTAACAGCCGTGGTGGAATTCAGATGTGGCAAAACAGTGAAGACGGTGTGTGAGTTTGGGAGAGGTGGTATTTCAGATCTACTCGTTCAGGGTGATGGCGTTTCTGACCCCGCAGCCCAGCCCAGGGTGGGCCAGCAGGAGCCAAAGGCACTTAATTCTCAGCCGTCTTGCAGGCCAGGCCCCATGGTGGCATGTCCCACTCAGAGCTCCCTAGCAGAAGGACACGGGAGCCCGTGAAGCACGTATGTACACTCTGGGACCTTTGCTGTAGCCCGTCCCTGTGGAAGGGGCTGAACCTGCCCCAAGGCCCCGGCCACGCTGCTGACCCTTCCCACCTCCCTGTGGGAAAGTTCCCGAGGAGGAGGTAAGATCCACGGGGTCAGGGCTTTGTGGGGGGCCTCATGCCTCCCAGCTGGGTCATGGGTAACAGTTCAGAGCTGGTTTAAACTTAGTGTGTCTCCCCCCCTCCCCCCAGGGCTCTGTCTCTCCCTGCACTTCCTGCAGATCCCTGCTGAGGGGGAGAAGCTTCTGGAAATAGTCCCTGCCCCGATCCCCAGGGGCTGGAAGCAAAGGCAGTCCAGGAGAAACCTGAGCCCTGCCTGGGTAGGTGTAGATTTCCACCCTTCTCTCCCAGGGGAGGAAAAGTCATTCATAAACCCTAAGCAGGAGGTGATAGTGACTTGTTTACCCTCAGATGGTGCCTGGGGGGTCCTGTTGACTCATTAATCTTGGAGATCTGATCACCTGCCAGCGTTGATGGCTCACACTTCAGAGGCTGGGAAGGGAGGCCTCTGTTCTCTGCTGACAAACCCGAACTGCGTCCCAGCTCCCCCAGCCCTTCTGCCACATGACCTTTTGCGAATCCTTTAACCTCTCTCAGCCTTAATTTCCTTGTCTGTATTGGGAGGTAGTAATATCCTCTTCTCCGGGAAGTGGTGAGAATTACGTGGCCAGGGCCAGCCAAGCATCTCGCAGCGAAGCTCAGTAACTGGTGTTGGTCTCCATCGGGAAGAAAAGAGGAGTTGGGGGAAAACGTCTAACTTTGAAGCCAGTTGCTTGATTTCTTTTTTTATTGCAGTATAATCGACATACAATGTTATATTCATTTCAGGTGTACAGCATAGTGATTCTGATTCTCTCTTTGTATATATTGAGAAATGATCACCACAATTAGTTAACATATCTGTCACCGTATAGAATCACGGAATTTTCTGGCCTCAGGTCCTCCTTCAGGGGAGCACTGACTGGAGGGCACCGCGGGCTACAGCACCATGCCCCCCTTTCCCAGGTCTCTCCCAGGGTCCTGGGGGGCTGCCACATCTGGCGTGACTACAAGAGGGGGGTCTGATGAGACTGGCTGGGTGTGCAGTTAGGATTGACAAGCGGTCAAATCCGAGGGTAGCCATTGAACCCCTATTTTGCTCCTATATCTATAAAACGAGGCGGCTTTACTCAGTGCCCTGCCTTACCAGGTTATAGAAGATCAAAAAGAGAATGCACAGGAAAGGCCTTGGCAAGCCAGCCAGCTGTAGGCAGAGGGAAGCAGGCTGGTGCCCCTTCATAACTGGCCTTGCGGGGGCTAATTTTTTTTTTAACTGCAGCCTCATTTTTATCAACTTAAATAATTTTACATGCAGCTCAGTGCAATCTTTTTGGTCTGTCCTTCTAGGTGTACAATTGTGAAGCCACCACCACAATCAAGATACGGAACAAGTGCATGAAACATTTCCTCGGGCTCCTTTGTCGCCAGCGCCAGACGCTCTTCCGGTCCTGCGCTCTGGCAACTGCTGGGCTGTGTCATTTCCTTGCAATTTTGCCTTTCCTTCCCTGTTACGTAAATGGGATCAGACAGGAGGGATTGTGTTATACAAATGGAAGAGATGTGGATGTTCTATAAATGGAATCATCTGGTATATGGAGCCTTTGAGACTGGCTGTCTACACTTAGCGCTATGCATTTGACATCCATCCGAGCTGTCACATTATCAACAGTCCATTCCTCTCGCCCAGCAGTGTTCTATTGTATGGACATACCGCAGGATTTTCACCAGATGAAGGACATTTGGGTTATTTCCAGTTTGGGGTGATGACAAGTGAAGCTGCTATAATCTATGTCCTGGGTTTTGTGTGACCAGAAGTTTCATCTAATGGTGGTAAACACCTAGGAATAGAAGTGGTGGGTCACACAGGAATATTTAAATTAATGAGAAGCCGTCCCTTTAGCGATACATGAGAATTCCGGTTGCTCTGCAACCTTTCCAATACTTGGTATTGCCCATAATTTTTCTTCTCAGTTGCTTTAATAGGTTGTGTGTGGTCTTGTAGTGTATGGTTAGGGTGGTATATTAATTTGCTAGGGCAGCCATAACAAAGGGGCTTATAAAATAGAGGTTTGCTTTCTCACACTTCCGTAGCCTAGGCGTCTGAGACCAAGGTGTCAAGAGGTTTGGTATCTCCTGAGGCCTTGCCCCTTGGCCACCTTCTCCCTGCATCTTCACATGAGTTTTTCTCTGTCTGTAAACATTTCTTGTGTCTCTCCATATGTCCAAATTTCTCCTTCTAAGGACATCAGCCATTGGATTGGGGCCCACCTTAAATACCTGATTTTGATGTAGTCACCTCTTTTGAGACCTTATCTCAAACTGTGGTCAAACATTGAAGTCCTGGGGGGTTAGGGTTTCAACGTGGAAATTTGAGAGGGACATTGTTCAGCCCTTACAAGGGGCGTAGACACATCTCAGCCCAGGCACACAGAATGAAAACCCAGTGAGCAAGTGGCCTTTGTATGGGGAAGGTAGAGGTAATTCCTCAAGTCGATGTGGCTCAGGGTGGGACCCATTGCCTTGGGACACAATGCTGGACGCATCCTTCCATTGGAAATGTGAGAAGGGCATAGGCTTGAGAATTAGACCCCAGCCCTGGTCCCAACTCTGCTGTTTCCTGGCCATATGATCTTGAGTGGGTCACCTCTTGTCTAAGCCACACTTTTATCATCTGTCCCAGATGGAAAATTGTAACTGTCTCACAGCCTGACGGTGAGGAGTTAAGAGGACAATTCATGTGTAGGAGTTCCACAAGCCGAGATGTGTGAGAACTACAACTTCCTTCATTATTTTTTTTCTGATTCATTTTTGCTTGTCTTAACTGAGCTATAGGGAAACTTTTGGCATTTTCCCTACCTCCTGGGGTTGTGTTAAGGTCCAAGTGCTTAATAAATGTCAGCAGTTGGATTTAAAGATTCTTGGTAAAATTGGCTACTGGAGACTCGAAAGTGCTGGTAGATTTGTACAGGATTAGAAAACGGGCAGGTGCTGTGGAAAGTCAGCCTTTGGGATCATTTGCCAAAGGTCCCAGATGTCTCCACCTCATGCCCTTTCCGTGGACTACCCAGGTTCACACTCTCCCCCTGCATTTCTCAGGGACATGTGTACTTGCAGTAAAGACCTACACGTGCCCTGAGAGTCAGCATGGACCAGGGGGACAGGATGGGGACAGGGGGACAGGGGGACAGGGGGACAGTAGGGGAAAAAGCAAATGACAAGGCGGAACAGTCTTC